CAAAAGCAGCTACACAGAATGTTCTGCACATCTGTCATAAAAAAATAGTCCTTCTAGAAGCAATTTCTCTTTCCAGAGACTTCCTAGTGTTGAAATATCTTCTGAGTTTCACTTAACTTTGATAAGATTATATATTAAAACTGTATGTCCTTTCCTGACCAGTTTAGGGGACTAGGGTTTATATTGTTCCTGACGGGTGCTATTTTCCACTTGTAATTGGGAAAAAATGTGTTTGTCTGCCTGGTTATCCACCTCCTGCGAGTTTCAATTGTCAGATGAGAAATGCTACATTTATTAACCTGTCTGAAACTTGGAAGTGCATACTTCATTCCTTTTTACAGCATTCTGCAAACTGAGTACTGAAATATATGGCATAAACCAAAATGCTTTTGTGTTATCTATGTTAATTAGAATTTTGCACATAACTGTGCAAATCACTAACTGTGATCACTAATCACTAATATCCCAGAGCTATGCAGAGGGACATACAGTTTTTCTTCTTGATATCCTATAGTTATGAAGGAGCACAGAACTAACTTCAGTGCAATACAGATTGAGCCATAAAATTCATTGTTCCTGAATCTTCTATGAAAAATATGGATGCTTATTTGAGAAATGCAGCCTTAAAGGACATTTTTTTCCGTCTATTTTTCCTCAGTAAATATGAAGTGAGAGATAATAAATTCATCTAATTCCTTAACAAGCTTTCTGGAGGCTCTTTTAAACCCATTACATGTAGTCATATGTTAGGTAAACAAACTTCTTGAATTTCTTTCACTGACTAGTGTGACGATTTTAGTGTGAATTCCTCAGACTATCAGATGCAGGAATTCATCAAACCTCAACCACCATGTAGAAGAAAGCTGTGAGATTAAGTATTCAGGGGTACAAAATGAATGTATTTACTTGTTTGATGTGCAAGAAATGTTGATCTGTAGGGTTGCACCTGCTAAAACCTGATTAAAATTTCACTTTAATCTGTGTAAGTCAAAAAACAGCTTACTGAAGTTGAATGAGTACTGTCAGCATAAAACTGGGATAACTGGAAAAAAAATAAAAAATCAGATTCTAAACTTTTAAATATAAAGACAAAAGCTTCATCTGATGTCAGTCATCATGGTATCTTTATGGAGATGTTCCTGAAGTTGTTCTTTCTCTTCATGTGGAATTTCTCTGTGATTTGCTGATTGTTTCATAAAGTTAGCATGTACAGTCATGATGTTCAGGCAGCTCTCTGGAACCAAATATATACATTGTTCATTCTAGGAAAGCATAAGAAATATGTAATTTATCTACCATTAAGACCACTTTATAGAAGCATGATCACCTCAGCTCTATATTGGTATAAACTGCACTATTGCATTATGTTTCTGCTTAATACCAGTTCCTTACAAAAATCTTAGGGCTTTACTGTGATGCCCCTTTACAGTCAAGGGAAAGGAACAAGTACTTCCAGAGAGCAGTTCACCTCAACCCAAAGTAGACTATATATAAAGTCAGAGAGATTATGTCTTAGAAGTGGTTGTTTCTCTCACCTGACTTTTAGGGAGCATCAGGTGACTGGCTCACATATATGTGTTTGAAATTGTATGAGATTAATTTACCCTTATAATTAATTTTCTGAACTTCCTATCTCAACATCATCCTGCTATAGCTTCCAAATTTCTCTTTTCAAAAAAATACCCTTTTCATACATCTGAGATGACTTGCCATCCTTATTAATTATGGCAAATGTGCAGAAATGGTTATCTTAAATAAGTATCAATTTAACATCGTTTTGCAAACCATGCACAACATTTTACATCAAAATACTTCCAAACAAGTTAATTATAAGATAACCTTTTTAAACTTCCAATTCCCTGGAGTGTTCTGCTTGCAATTCTGAACATATTTCATTCCAGGGCAGGAAGCAATATATTCAGAATTTAGAAATATTTTCCTCTGGGAAAGCATTGCCTGTGAAATACACAGAACAATGCAAAATCAGGGAGAACATGAACAGAATTCAAGAGAGGAAAAACAAATGTTTTGGTGAAGCTCTGTTAATTGCTAGTTGTTTCTTCTCCTGGCGCCATACGAAACAATCTGTTCATGTTGCTTCCGAAATGGCAAGATGAATGGTTCCATAGTCATCTCTATTAAAAGGAGAACAATAGACTGAAAAGATTAAAAAAGAACAGTTTTGGGAGAAGAGTAGAATCACTGATTATAACTAGATAAAATAATAACTTTTTGATATTCATTCATATGATCATTCATTCATACTACATTCAATATTAAAATGTAATCTATCGAGGTATGATTAAATACTTTACATTTCAATTACGACCTAAGAGTATATTAAATAGCAGATTCTAAGGCTTGATATTTTAAAATCAACAGCCGTAAGTTTCACTGAAAAGTTCAAAAATAATGTTCTGAATCATTGGTGATGATTTCCATTAAATCACAAAAATTAATGTAACTTCAGAGAACTGGATTAAAGATAAATTTATTCCAACATTTTATAAAATGTACCCAAACAAATTATAAGACTTGGACATCATGGTGTCAGATCAGCTGAACTTGAGTCCAGTTGCAGTGCTGGGTTTGTTCTTGACTTTATGGATAGCAAGATGGAGAAGGCAAAGAAAAAAAATATCTGAATTTGTTGATTTAGAAAGAAAATTCTACATGGCAAAATAGTTGGTATCAGGATTACTAAGCAAAGATTAACACTGAGTGATATTATTAAGTAGATTATAAAATAAGAATAAGAAATACAATTATCAGTTTAGAGTAGTGAAAAGATATAGCACAATCAGTGAAATTGATCTCACCTGGCTTTGGGACATATTTTCTACATTCTTCAGCATATTAAATTTTCAAATAAAAGTGAAGAGATTTTTTTGTATAGGTTAAGTTGGGAATGAATCCTCACAATTTTATTATGGGGAAAAAAAGGAAAGCACACCTTAAATATGGGTTTCAGGGAATTTGCTATTTATCTGGCTAATGATTTAACAGTTTTTCAAGGAGCAACAGTTTGGGTCTTTTTGGTGTAATTGAAGTGATACTAATGCTTATAGCCTGAATTATGTATGATTGCTAATTCCTATTAATATTCCAACTAAAGCTGTCATACACCAACTTCCTCGTGCCTTGATGCTAAAAAAACCACTAAAAACTCCAACACAAGCCACAACTAAAAAAAGTACAGTATAGCTAAACCAAACTCAAAATCACAGGATATGTAAGAAACTCCTGACATTTGAGTATCTGAGTAATTTACTGTTGGGCACGGAACAACTAAGACAATGGTCAACTGATTCTAATTCAAGTTTCTTAAATGTTTGTGATTTTTTTCAAAGACAGCTAAAGTAAATTCAAGACCAAACAAGACCTGACAAATTCTGAAGTCTGTTCCGAGTACTTTGGGCGATATATAGCCTAAGGTGTATCACTAATATTCAGCAATATAAAGTTGTTTGTGCTACAGGTTTAATCTGTAATACCCCTTTTCTTACTGACTTCAATGGTGGGTCTACAATCTGTGAAATGAATTCATTTGAAATGTGTGTTAATGAGAAGCAGTTTTAGTTAGTCTTAAATCTATTCTGCTGGCACTTATCCTTTTGATCTTTCTCCCATGTAGCCTTCACAGGCAATGCCCTAATGAGTTCATTCTTTATAATTCATTTATATGTCTTGAAGACATTATTCTTCCACCTTGTTTTTTTCTGATATGGTAAATGATTCAGGGATTTTGCATTATATCTGGCACTGTGTATTATTTTGTAATTAGGAAGAGTTACACTGAATTTCCCACCTATACATATTTCTCTGACTGTTGTATTTTAAACAGAGATATTATGAATGTAATACTCTCTGGATTAATTTCTTTTACACAATTTAAATTTATTTGGGTTTTTTTTAATAATAATTTTTGAATGCCTTTTGCTTAGACATTCCCCATGACTTCAGTAGGACAATGTATGCAAGATACATTTGATTGCACTCTTAAGTCTAGAGAAGAGGGAGTTTGCTGTTTCTGGGTTATTTGCACTGCCCATAAGCAGAAGGAAAGCTTAGGAGATCATCAGATGTTAATGGCAGATGGAAACAGGCTAATACTTTTTCCACAGGAATTTTCAAATCATAATAAATTCCGAATGTTGTTAGGTTTTTCAGCTTTTGCTTGGATTTAGTTATCTGGGTTCCTGTATATTATGGGGTGATCCTTAAGGTAATCCAGGCTCACCAGTTTTGGATCCCCTCTGTGAAAGGCAGTCTTGCTAAACACACATCCATAATTCAGGGATGGATTTTAGCCTGTCTGGTTATAATTTATGGAGTGCTATATGTTACCCTAACTAAGTGTGAATTAATTTATAATATATAATGTAGGCTGGTGAATTACTGCTGAACTATAAGACTTCACATCTTGTTGGCCCACTACTAATACTGGATTTTTAATTTATTAGACTATCTTTGCATTAAGTACTATGGGTGTTTCAAAAGGTAATGCCCAGAATTTACACCAAGCATTTTTCTCATCTAGCAGCTTCTATAGAACATTCATCTGTGTGAAGAAAGGGCAAACTTAAGAAAATGTGGTTGTTAAATAACAACACATTTCCATAGAAATTTATTTCAAATTAATGTTCTAAGGTCGATTCTTTGATTCTATGAGATGGGAGATGTATTTATATTTATATACAGTAGGGCTTTGCTGTATTTTGTAACTTAGCTTACAATTTATTTTCTTTTTTATTTTTTAGACGGTTTGATATAACCTGCAAAGAAAACATATGGATTATTAATTGTGTTGTAATATTACTTGTAAGATGCTTCCCTATATACAAAAACAGTTGTCGTAGTTTGGGAGAAATTTGTCTCTTCAAAAATTCTAATGCAAAATTTCATTTTAGATAAATGTAAGTTGTCCTGATGTAAATGATTTACTAATTTCTTATTTTCTAAACCTTAAAAATAATGTTTTATTTATTCATTTATTACAGAAGCCTTTGAAATGCTTATCAGACTGGCTGAGAATTACACGAGCACCCTTTTCTGCAATGCTTACAGAAACATGGCAGCTGAGGCTACTCTGCGTGTTCAGGAGTTTTTCACGGATGTTGGACTCTTCATATTTGGCACCGATGTTAGCACAGAGGAATTTGTCAATAGATTTTTTGACACCCTGTTTCCAGTGGTCTACAACCATGTGATTAACCCTGGTCTGACTGACATTTCGATGGAATATGCAGAGTGCCTTCAAATGGCGAGAAGAGACATCAGACCCTTTGGCAACATTCCCAAAAGGGCCTTGGGACTAATGGGAAGATCACTCTTACCCAGCCGGACTTTCTTGCAGGCTCTGAATTTGGGGATTGAAGTGATCAATACCACAGACCACCTGCATTTCTCTAAAGACTGCAGCAGAGCTTTACTGAGAATGCAGTACTGCCCCCACTGCCAGGGGCTGACCCTAAGCAAGCCCTGCATGGGCTACTGCCTCAACATCCTCCGGGGCTGCTTAGCTAACATAGCAGAAGTTGATTTTCATTGGCGTGGATATATTCAGTCCCTGGAGGAGCTCTCAAGTGCCATGAGTGGAACATACGACATTGAACATGTGCTTCTAAACTTCCATTCACTTGTTAATGATGCTCTCACACAGGCTCGGACCCATGGGCCAGAATTATCTGAGCAGGTAAGAAGGTGTTTTTTGTCCACACTTCGTGCAAACACGACAGTAGGAAAAGTATCACTGATAGCTATTACTTGTTTGGCCATTTTTATGATGAGGACCATGTTTATATCTGAGTTCAGCTTTATGCAGTTTTATGGAGCACAGGAAATGTTTTTCATGAACTTAAGAAAATTGTTCATGTTCATTGTTATCTTATGTGCACATAATGATAAATGTAAGCAATCCTTATTTTAGATACCAGTGGACTGACTTAAAGAACCTATGACTTTGCATATATTGTTTCCATACTTTTGTAGGTTTCAGAGGAAGTAGCAAAGTTAATTTCTAACATGAACTAAGTCCTTCCTTACGTAGGAGAAAAAGCAAGTTATGTGAGAGCTCTGTTAGCTCTGAATACATGAAGTGAAGAATTTTAAGATACCGTTAGGGCAATAACTACTTAGCTATACATTAGGAAAAAATCTAGAATATCTGCTAATTTATTAAGTTTATGTAAGTAGCAAAATTTTAATTCTTCCTGTATTGTATTTAATGCACAATATGTTTAGTAATTGGGTTTTTCTCTGTATACTTCCATGCAGACTTCACTGGTAGTGGCATATTCTTTGTTCAGTGCTGGATTGGATAACTTGTTTTGGGGAGATGCCTTTAGTTTTCTAGTGCATGCAGATCTAAAGAGGGTGTCTGGGTGTCCCTGTGGCGTGGCACCAGCTGAGGTGCAGTAAACCTAGGACTGCCATATCCTGCCCCGATACATGACTAGGTGAAGTTGAAGCTGTGCCTTCTGCTAAGCAGCTGATATGACCTCTGACAATAAACAACTTGACCTAATGTAATAAATAAATGATTCTTCATTTCTTACTAAGACCCACAGTCTATTAAAATGGGTTCTTCATCCTGCTGTAGTCAGTAAGTAACAGGGAATTTGCTCATTTCTATGAACTTCCCATTTTATGTGCTTTGTGTCTGCCAACTATATGAGCCATAATAATCCTGCTGCTGAATGTCCTTGAGCAAAACTGTCCTTTTTTTTGGAAAAGGTTTTTCACTAGCAGTTTGGCTCAGAAGCGGCTCACTGATGTCTGTCTGATTCCTTTGTTATTTCAGAGCACCAGTTGCCTTTTAGGGATATACCCTGTTGCTCCTTCAATTTCTGTGGGATCTCTTTTTGCCAACAATTTTCAGGAACAGGTTAGAATGAGCAAGTAAAGGCTTAAGGGAAGGACTTGTGTTTCCTATTCCATTTCCCTCCACCCATTGTTTTTGCTTAATGAAAATTTCATATTGATCCAAACCAAAATGCTTTATTTTGACATTCCTGACAACTCTATGCCTTCTTTCTCATCATCCTTCATACAATATAAGGAAAACTAAAATTTCTTATGTAATGATATTTGGTGCCAATGCGTTTGTTTGAAGATCATGTGTTTACTTCTGCTATGCTGAGATTGTCTGATAAAGAATTACTTCCAAACTTTAAACCCTAAATGCTTCATTTTTCACTCAAGCTGCATCAGACTTAGACATCTCTTTCATTTATTCTCTCTGTTATAATTGACCAGTCCTTTCTCATTTTCCTCTTTAATTTGGTCAAATAAGACTGATGCAATGATCCCTTGAAACACAGTGATCTAGACAGTCAGTATATCTCATATTCATATTTTCCCATTTATTAGGTATCAAGACCTAGTTCTGACTTGTAATAAATACAGTCATTCAGCTTTAAGAGGCAGAGGACATGAATTCTGGTGAAATTGGCTCATTAATATTTATTTATTTTATCTTCAGAGTGACTCATGAAATGTTTCAAGTTTTGATAAGCAATTAATGCATCAGTGATTCTAACAGACACGGAAAATATGATTATGAGTGAGCAAATAATGGTTTGCTTAGGCACGCAGCAGTCTCTGCAGTTTTAAAAGTGAATTTCATTACAGTAAGTACTTTCATGAGTTTTAAAGAAGCAAACAGAGAAAAAATTTTTCAGTGTTTGGAAATATCATATATGCATATGTAAGTATTAATATGAGACTCTACAGAGTATCCTGCTTAGTGATACACGTAGTCATGCAGCTTTTTATCTATTCAAGTGTGTGTTTATTAATTTACTATATGTAAAGGATTTTTTTCTAACGTGTTGCATGGATATTAATACTTTAGGCTCTGTGTGGTGTGGAAAGACCAGTAATGCCTATAAAGCAGTTTTATAAAACTCTTTTCTGGTAATTTGCAACTTGTTTTCTGCTTTGGTCAGCAGAGCATTGCCATGCTGTCTCCAGCTGGAATTTGTCTTTCCCTTTGTGTTTCCTGTTTCAAATACACCTGTAGTTCCTTCCTCCCACAACTCCATGGACTGGCAAATAAGTGCATCACCTCTTCTTCATCTCCATGCAAGGGCATTATTTTATGCTATTCTGCAGAAATCTAGTGGAGATGTTTGGGTTCTGCAACTATTCACATATATATGTATTTTCACACATGCATATTGACTTATATTTAATGACATTTCTGCTCTGGCAGCTGAAAGTCAAGCTGGTTGAAGGAGTTGTCTATACTCTTAGCAAGAGTGTTGTTTTGGTATTTGAAGACTTGTGCTGCTGCATATTAGGCAGCATGACAGTTGAAAGGTTCATCCGAGTGGAACAAGCAGAGAACCTGAGAGGAGGTGAAATGGCTTTGAGGTCAGACTAGAGCTGAAGGAAAGGGGGAAAGGAAAAAGAGAAGAGAAAGAGAAAATTCACAAGGCTTTATAATTAAATCTTTCCTTCAAACTTTGCATTAAACTATTGTTCTTGATTCCCAAAAGATCAATTATGTCTGAGTTTAATATTGAATAAAAGAGATGAAACGGAATATTGATTAGTTGTTCACTGTCTATTCTGGGCACCGATGATTTTGGGAAGGAAAATGAAGTATGTGATCATGATTTTAAGAGTTATATATGGATATAAAAATGTGAGAATCAGAAACACTGCTTCTAAAAAATAAAATAGCAGACAAATTCTGGCATTTAATCATTTTGAAAGTGAGAAATTTGAATTTGTGCTACAGGTTTGGTAAATTCTTGTATTTGCATATAATATAAGCCTATGAAAATTCAGAATGAGATTTTCAAATGCATTATGTCTTCACTGTGTTGTAACAGTTTTTGAAACAGTTGGAGGTAAAAATATCAAAATTCTGGAAGTTCTCAAGTCCTTTCATCTCAGTCTAATACTGAAAGAAAATCGAAGTTATGCATCTTCTAAAAAATAGGCATAATTATATTGTGTTAAAAGAGACTTTTGTCTTGCCTATCTTTATTTTAATCTGTTGTTAATACTAGAAAGAAAGCAAGATCTTTCCTGTGTCATAGAATGCTAGCAGGAAGAAGAATGCAATAGACTGTATTTAGAACTTTATTTTCCTAGTAGGTATTTTGGCATGAAATGACTACTGATAAACCATCAGAACTGCTGTAATGTTTCAGATTTAATATTCCTACAAAGGGATGTATTTACAAGCATTATTTGTGGGTGTGGGTGTGTGTGGGGAGTCCTATTCCTTCTAGGATCTGTTTTATGTAGCTACTTTTTATTAGGGTCTCTCTCTCAAAAAGTCACACAGCTTTGTTCCATTCCATAAAATGAAGTGCTGTGGAAGTCCACTAAACCAAATAAGTTTTTAGATTTGAAAAAGGATTAGAAAGATGGTGATAAAAAAAGCTTTTGATAATCCCAAATACATACAAACCATAAAACTGCAAGCTGTGTTATAATTGCAGTTTTTATTTTGGTAAGCTCTAAAATGGATTGTGAACAAAAGACCAGCATTTCTAATTGTGGGAAGTGCTGTGCCTGGATATATGATAACCTTCATAGCTTTGCACGTTAAGGCACTTAAGGAGATGCAAGAGATGAGCATCTTTTGAACTTGCTATCCTGTGAACCCACTTCCCACTTGTTGTTTTGGGTGCAGTTGCCCTGGCAAAATGTTATGGAGTAACCACAAACCTTGTCCCCCCTGCAGCACTTGAGGGACTGAGGAGTGGCAAAGGAGCTGGGAATGGAGTGAAATTTATCCTGGGATAAAGGGAGCTAGGAGGAACGTGATTTTGGTCTGAACTTTGTTTCTCACTATCCTACTCTATTTTTAATTGGCAATAGATTAATTTGTTTTCCTCAAGCTGAGGCTTGAGGGCATTTTGCCCATGACAGTAATAGGTGAGTGATCTGCTTGTGTTTATCTCAACCCACAAGCTTTTTCACCTAGGTTTCTTCTCCTGTTCTCTGGAGGAGGGGGAGTGAGAGAGCAGCTGGGTGGGCATTTGGCTGTTAGCTGAGTCCAACCCGCAACAGTTCTCAACATACACACATGGCTTTGGCAAGCAATGCTGAGTAGTGCAGGTTTGAATAAGGCATGCTCAATATAGACTGCCATGTGAATAATGTAGGAATATATCATGGTGTGCATCATGCATTCCTATTTAATGCGTTTCGAGCAAATCCACTTCACTATTTGGAATTACTTCACTCTTTTGTTAAATCTTTCAATTTTTCATACCTCCCTGGTTTCTGTTTTAACAGAAGGTTAGGCAAAATTTGGGCAAAATGCACAGGTTTGGAGTAGCCTTCCTCTTTCCATTGACTGCATAGGGACTCAGATGTCTGAAAAATGTGGAGTAAGCAGTCTGAGTTTCCATCACGTTCTGGTTTTAGGTGGCATGATGGATATCTAACTCTGCTTAGGCACCATGGCAGGCTTGTTTCAATGTGTCCACTGAGCACCTGAACTGAAGGTAAGATGCCCAAAGAGGCTGAAAATGCTGCAGTCTGGTTCTTTGTATTTGCAGAAAGGAAACTTTTCACTCCTTCCCCAAGCCAAGTAAAAGGCATGAACAAGTGTAAAAGGACGCTGAGAATCCTTTCCATAGGATGTGTATGTGATTTCTTTTTTCTCTGTTCTTCCTTTTTCACTGTGAAACAGGGTAGCTGTTTACAGAGATCTACTGAGCTGAGCAG